CCATTGGAACCTCAATCACCAATTTACTCAGTTCCCAATGTGTGTCAAGTCTTAACCTCATCTCATGTATATGAAAACAAAACAAAAAATCTCTCAAGCAAGATCAGCTTGACCACTGCCCAAAGTGTTGTTCACATCTGGGATTCTCAAAAGCTGTTGAAGTTGCATTTGGTGCCAAGCACTCTTTTTTTGTTGAAGAAAAGATGTGTTTGTATTGATCTTGTGTGATTCATTTTACTTTTTTTGGATTGGGGTTTTTATTTGAAATTTTAGTCTTTCATAGCTTTTTTCAAATTGATCTCTATTGGGAGGCAAAGAAGGAGTGAAAAAATAATTATAATGTTGATTTAATTTTTGGTTCCAAAATGAGTTTGAAAAAATAGTTTTTTAACAATTGAAGCGTAAAGCATTTGTGTTTGACATACATGGAGATTCTCAGCACTCAACAAAGTTATTTTTGGCTACATTAAAAGCAAATTCATAAGAGACAAACATCCAAAATTCTACTATAGAAATGAGGTTTCTGAAAAATTCCAAATTGAGCCACTCATTTTCTATTTATTTTGTTGACACAAATGCAAAGGCCACATCCAAAATAAGACTCAATGAAGAACTCATTGATTGATGATGATGAACAATCTATGTACAAACTGTCTTTTCAATCCTGTCTGAAAGGTATTGCAAGGCATTTTTGTTGGCTGCTTTTAAGAGGTGTTGAGTGGATTGAATTTTGAATTGCACAGTTCAACCTTGAAAAAAGGCCAACTTGGCAAGAGGACTTACGCTTCCTTGATTTCATAGTCCTGCACTCAGCGTCAAACTTTCCGGGATCTTTCCATTTATCAGGCATCTAGAAGTTGAACAAAGGCAGAAGTTTGTTAACAATGATATTCTTGCTGACTCAAGTTTTTCACAGTAGCCTGATCCTGAGTCCAGCAGGAAAGAGGTACAATATTGTGGTGTCTTGAAGGAAAAGTGGTAAGATTTTCAATGGTGTTGCACATCTCAGAAGTTACTGTAAGGATGTATGTGTTGAGGAGTTCACTGATATTATAATGTTTTGTATCAGTATGTGTTGGTCAAGTCAGGTTCTAATAGAAGATGCGTGCACCACAACCAACTGGTCTCATTGAACTTCATTTGATTTATCAAGATACATCCACACCCACTCTCATCTCAACTCTGATCAGAATGTGAGGTATACTTACCTCACATACCTTCCTGAATTCCAACCTTTACTCACAGTGGGTTGTTTGTTTTCAGTTCATCACACTACACAAAATGTCATCTTTACCGGGCGGTAAAGAAAACTACTGACATAGAAAAGTCCTGAGGCAACAGGAAGAGAGCTAAAAATCTGAAAAAATATGCACCTTGTTCATAGATGTTGGGGCGTCATGACAAGTATTTTTTTGTATTTTACACACAGATATTGGTTAATGTACTAACAACAAAGGCTGAGAATCATCAAAAACCCACCTGTAACAATACCTGAAATTTGGCCCTTGACTTTGAAGACAGGATTTTGGAATCTTCAAACATCCATAACTTTTGCCGTTCTGAATCAAATCACTCGATTTGAAGTGCATTAAAAAGGTGAGTCTTTCCTCTACATTTTTCATTCAGACATCACATCTGTAGCTGGTCTAAAAAAGATCCTACAGAGCTATTCATGCAGAACTGTTTGAACATATGTAGAGTGTTTAAATGACTAGATAGCACCTTACTAACATTATGAAGTGTGTAGGAGAATAGTCCAGCTTTTGAATGAACCAACAATTGAGTTATTTGGAGCAGAATTGCAAAAGTTATTGAAGTTTTTAGACCACAAAATATTGTCTTCATACTCATGACCCAAATTTCAGGTATTGTTACATGTGAGTTTTTGATGATTTCCAGCGTTTATTGTTAGTACATAAACCAATATCTGTGTGTAAAATACAAAAAAATACTCATCATGACGCCCCAACATCTAGGAACAAGGTGCATATTTTTTCAGATTTTTAGCTCTCTTCCTGTTGCCTCAGGACTTTTCATGTCAGTAGTTTTCTTTACCGCCCGGTAAAGATCACATTTGGTGTAGTGTCATGTTCTACTGCTTGAGTTTTCAAAGTTTGAAGTTCCAAACATTGCATTCAAGATCATCTATGTACCTCATCATTCTACCTTTTTGAAGTAAGGCAACACAACTTCTGACAATCTCAAGAAGAACATTCTATGTTACAGCAAAAACCCTTCCTCTTTCTGGGTGGTTTGTTTGTCCTCCCAAGTAATTGTCATCTCTGACAGTAATATTCCTCCCGGTGTTAAACTCATCTGTGTACACTGTACAGTCAGTGACAAAAAGTTTACGTACCTCAAGTACATATGTAATCCCAGTCTATGGGCGCTCTGTCTCTTGAATAACTTCCTCATACCTCATTCAGAACTTGTCTGAAAATGAAGACTTGTAGCCTGTCGCCCACTCAAAAGGCCTCTATTGTTTTAATGCACCAAGCTGGGGTTCCTGGCACTCAAATTGCCAAGAAACTGGGCCATCACAAGTTGACTGTCTATACAGTGACTCACAACGACCGCAAAAGACGTCAATCAAGACTCAAAAACATTGGACAACCAAAAAAGTTCTCAAAACGTTGTATACCAAGTGGAAGGCAAACCCTCAGAGCAAGCTTCAGGCTTTGGTTGAATCCGTACCTGATCAAATCAAGGCTGTGCTCAAAGCAAAGGGTGGACACACTCCCTGTTAAAAGTGACTGTATTTCAGAGTCTATGTTACAGTTATGAATCCTGAAATTCAATCATACGTACTCTGATGAGTGGCCATCTAGACCATGTAATTTCAGATATATCAGTAGTCAGATGTTGAGTACATATGCTTTTTGAGAGTTGCCCAATAGGCAAGCTATGGTACAGGTACGTAAACTTTTTGTCACTGACTGTACATGTGGCTCAGGCTGAGGCTGTGCCAGGCTGAGTTTATTACTAATCTAAAATTAACAAACCGGCAGCAAATTAACAATTGATGGGTATGTCAATCCCAACCTTTTTTTGACAGTTCCCTCATTTAAAACTAAAAATAGAATGAATTACAAAAAACTTCAGGAGTATGATCAAGCCGTGTAGAGTCGAGAACAGGTTCAGTTTGGATCAAATCAAGTGCAGGGCTTGCGAAATTTACTGATGTAGACTTGATGAATCATGATTGAGTGACACAAGGAGGTATATATAGAGCTCGATCTTAGGACTTTGGAGACAGGGCAATTTGGCTCCAGTGGTGGGGCTGAGACCAGACGCGGTGGAAGAGTCGAGATCAGTGTAGGTACCAAAGACAAGAGCGGGTCCTTTGAAGTTGGTCCCCTAGTGGATGGACCAGGAGGCATGGCTTGTTGTAGCCGCCAAGCCGTTGAGCACGGGGTTGGCTTTTGTCAATGAGCAAGACTTCAAGGAGCTGGTCATGAGAAATGGGAATGGTAGGAGTGGAAGTGTAGATGAGGTGCAAAGTGCAAAGTTAAGAGTTGGATGTCGGAGGAGAAAGTGGTGAGACAGTGAAGAGCTTGCAGAAGTAGAGAAGGTGGTAGAGTATATGGAGTAGTTGAAGGAAAGGTGGTGAGGATGTTGTTGGTGAGAATAGTGATAATTCATCTTTGGAATCAAAAAATTGAATTGTCAAAGGTACAAAAAATAAAAGTTGAAACGCCTCCTCAGCTCAGCAAGCTGGCATCAAGAGTTGATGATGTTGGGATGCAATGATTTGACTCAATTATAATAAATTTCTTTTCTTTCTTTCCGAAAAATATCACTTTTAATTCCTTATGTTTTGATGATCAATATATCCAGTAAGTTTATTGCTTTATTATCTTTGCTTGGTGTTTTTAAAAATCACTTCTTAATTGCTCTTTTGCCTTTTTGCTCTTTTCGCTTGTTTCACTTGGTCACACAGCTAGTAACGCTGGGCTCATAACCTGTAAGAGCACACGCTCAGCTATCCGCTCAGGGATCCAACCACAACAAGGATGCGGAAGGAGTCGGGAGCGGGAGCTGGGCGGGCTATGTACAGCCGTTTCAAGAAAGGTTGACAACTTTTTTTTGGAGAAAGTTGTCCCCGCAGCGGTTAAAACCAGAGACAAAACTTGATTACAGGTTTATTCTTTTCTGTATTTTTCCAATCAGCGGAGAGACAAAACAAGTAAGGGACAAAACCCGGGTTTTGCGCATTGGCAAGATTTTCAAAAAAAATCAATCTTTGTTGAAACAGCTGTATATAGGTGGAGAGACTAGGGCTACTGTGCCACAGTCATGGACCTACACCTACACATGGCTAGGCCATAACCATATGTAAATCCCTTGCTGGGGCTTGGTTGCAAGAGGACCCAGGAATGCACCTATAAAGGTATGTAACAAAACATGTTTTTCAGTTTTTGGGCTCTACACAACACAAAACTCATTGTCTCAAGTTCCAGAGCACTTCAAAAGATGCGCATGGAGTAGGGCTATTGAATGAACCTACTCCAAGTCTCTCAACTTCACTCACCTTGGTTCAAAATCGATTGGCGCAAAAAAAAAATGTGCCTCCAAGGCCTGATCCCGACCTTCAATTTAGGGCTGTTTTGACCGTTACATCCGTTTAACTCGGGAAGTATAGGTGCTATGAGGCTGAAAGCTAGCTTAAATGAAAGCCTTCAATCTCACACATATTTTGCACTACTGTAGCTGTTGTAAATGTGGTGTTAAGTGCCCGAAAACCGCGCCAAAAAACGGTCGGGATTCTCGTTACATACCTCTATATGTAGGTGCATTCCTGGGTCCTGTCGCGAGGCGACAGCGTGAGACTTTGCTAAGTTTAGAGATGGAAATCATAAACTCATCAAAGTCCCACGCCGCGTCTCGCACTCGGTTGAGTGGTTCTCTAATGCAGAGCCCCTCCAAAATGTCCTTCATTCCCTCTCACACCAAGACTTGTCATCAAACCTGTCTCATTCTTCAACAATCAAGAATTTGCCATGCTTTTCTTCAAAATTATCATTGCTGCTGGTCTAGCAGGTCAGCGAATTTATACACACTAATCTATATCTCCATTGGTACTCAATCTTACTCAATCCTCTATCTCTTCTTACAGCCACAATCTCTGCCCGCCGCGTCCAAGTTGACCAAACGTGAGCAAAGCCTTATCTTTCTCTGTCTTACTTTAACTACTCTGAGAAACTTACCTACAATATATGACTTGCTTGATCTCAGTGTCACTCTTGAAGTCCTACAACGACGATCTGTAGAGTTTACTCCCATCATTGAAAAAAGATTGTAAGTGGAGGTTATGGACATTAACTCTTGTTACTCTACTGCCGCACAGTGTTTGACTGATTGTATATGATACCTGTCTACACAAAATAAATCTCACTAGCTCAAGAGTCCTTAAAACTCGTGACTTTGGACCTGGTTCACCCATTAATAGTAATATCTCCCCATCCTGCTCAACTGCATGTCAATCTGGACCCGGTTGTTGCTGATCTGGCAGATGTCAAGGCAATCAACGTATGTGGCAAGTTCAGGAGGGCTATAGGTGGAGGTAAACACAGACCTTATCACAACATGCAAAAATTTATTTCCTCCAGAAGTCTCCTACGCATTCTCCTGATCAAAGTTCGGAGTCAGCTTGCTTTCTGCTTATCATAGCCATCATTGCACCAGTTTCTTCATGTACGCCAGCTGATTTGTAAACCAAGTGATCCTATGACAATATTCTCTCAAATTTTTGCTACTCAGATTGTTTTGAATCAATGATACTCTTCAACCTGAAATGTTTTTGTCCAGGCCTCCTATGAGCAATCTTGAATTCATCAAGGTCACTTAAGTTCCTCAAAGAGTCGATTTGATAAACTGACTGAGGTCATGTTCTGAGAATCCGATTGATTTGAAAGTCTTTAACTCCTACACTGAGAACTTGAGTACATGAACACAGCCTTGAAGCTCGCATTTGGATTTCGAACAGATTCTTCAACGGATCCATTTCATTTTCAGCATCAGAACAGTTTATCAGACTTTTAACTTTGCTGTTTACCAATCTCAACTTCAAATCGATCAAGTATCAAACCAATCTCATTCACTTCAACGAACAACAACCATCATCAACTCAACTTTCCACCATCCACTAAGACAACTACTTCATCATCATCGAACTCATCTTTATCATTGAATCCTAACTTGGATCCACCTCGTACAAATGAAAACATGTTAGTATCATCAATCTCTGAAGAAAAGCCATTCTTATCCATAGCTAATTCATAAACTATTTCATTAATTCAAACAAATTGTCCAATTCGCTCAACGAACATCTCATCCATTTGAAAACAAATCATCAGATCGAAACCCCAAAGTTTCCTATTTGGTACCAACCCAATCGGTCAGTCTCTTTTCACGATCATCTTCAAAGAACCCCTCCAGATCTCAACCGTTACTAATCTTCAATGCATTTCATTCAACAGGTTATTCTCGAATCATTCTACCAGCAGTTTCATTGCATTGAATGTCGTAACAGTCAAAGTATTGTAAGATTGCACATTTGATCTCACAAATTTTAGATGCAGTAGACGGTCAGGCTGCTAGATCTTTGCAGCAAACTAGTAGGTTCGTTGCTGTACTGGATATGCTCATTGATCGGTAAGTCATTTTAAAAATCATGTATGTGAAATCCATTCCTAGTATGACGGAGAGTAGGCTTTCCTTATGGGATGAGAAGATGGGTTTATGTCCCATCTTCTATGCACTTGTTGATAGAGAATACGTGTGATGTTTCTTCTGATTGAGAAACACAAAATCTAGCATTCATTGAATTTGTAACCACTACAAAACAGATTGAGAGTTGTACTGAACAACTAATAAAAATCAACAAACAACAGATGGTGGTGTGGAGGTGGCCCCTTGAGCCACAGGATGGGTGAGGAGCTAATAAATCATTATCCAAATTGCTCATCTCAAGGGGCGAGAACAATGAGTATCAAGAAGGTGGGCTTCTCTCCCCATTACCTTGTCGAGGGGAAGAGCTGTGAGCCGGAAATCCCACACCTCGAGCCTTTGCGAGTAAATCTGCATAAGCTTTCATTATGTCCCATATTGAACCCACAACAAAAAGAACACTGCATCTCTGTTGTCTTGACTAAGTAAGACATGATTAATGACTGGCTCAATCTTGTTAAATTTGGCAAAGGTACACAGATGTATTTGAAGAAGATCTGAAAAAAATATAAACGCAGGAAGGAAGCACCCAAAAACTTGAGAGGAAAATAGGAGTGGACAACACTTGATAGGCAGAAAAGAATTCAGCACAACATGAACGTTGCTTACAAACAAAGGCTATGTGAAAAATACTTTGTTTTTCTGAGATCTTTTGAGGAGAAATTTCTTAGATATATACAATATGCATCTAATGACCATTTCCCACAGTGTTTGATTTCCGCTCTAGAGGCACCCAAAATCCATCTTACCAAAGCATCTTCTCTCCAGAAAGAGTGCTCATAGAGGAGCTGTTTAGACTTTGGTTGATTAACATTCCAGATTTTCCTAAACTGTTTGATTGTACTCTGTTTTCTTAGCTGCACTTTCTTCCCATTAATTGATAAGATAAACACAAAATTGGTTGATTTTCTAGGTCAAAATCATACAATCCTTTGAGAATGGTACCTGGATCCAGTAAAGAGTCTTGCTTCTCAAGGCGAACTTGTAAACCTCTCCTTGTAAAGCCATCTTTGTCTCATGAAGATTGATGACTATGTCTGAGCCATCCGGAGCCCATCCCAAATCCTGCAAATGAGGGACCTGTCTTGTTGGATTGTCCAATATCAGCTTGCCTAGACAGGCAGTTCCCCAGAAAGCTGTAAAAGCTACCACAAGTATAGCTAATTCCTCTTCACCACAGTTGAAAAGTGCTTCTCTTAATGTGGTGAGATCCAAAAACCGGTGGCCTCTTTTTGTCAAGTCCATTGAACTTTGCCTCCAATTTTTAGGTTGCTTTGAGTAGTGCTTTAAGATGGGAATTAATTTCATTGGTGAAAAATGATCCATGAAAGATGTGCCATGCTCAAATGCCAGTATGGTAGCGGTGTTAAGGCCTCTCTTTGCTCTCTGCTCAACGAGGGTGAGCTCTGATAGGTGCCTATAGTGTTATGATGAGATTGTCCGATGGGTATCCACACTACCACGTCAGCGGTTGAAGTACAAGCTTGTCTAGTGATATGTATGTGACATGGGAGCGCACACATGTCATGAATGCTACCGGTTAGACTCATAACATGATTCCCCCTTTAATGCCCAACTTCCTCTTGCAAGTCTGCATTCTTCCCCGGGCAGCGTTAAAAAACCCTGTGGGAAAAAGCTATGCCCTCTCCACTTCCTCTTTCTTTGTTTCTTGTATTTAGTTGATGCTTGAGGGTAATTTGTGTTGAATTCCTGCACCAATTTACTACAATTCTTGATGTTTGATGCTGGCTCCCAAGAGTTGTGTTCAGCGCTAAAACCCTTCCAGCTTATCAGGTACTCACAGTTTTTTTTCTTAATTCTACAGTCCAGGATGTCTTCTACTTCCCACTCTTCGTTTCCTTCTATGATGATTGTGTCGGGCTTCTTTGTGTGACGTCCTTCTATTGTATCCGCCTTGTGAAGTTGTAATAACGACACGTGGAATACTGCGTGTACTCCTCTCATCGAAGCAGGTAAGTTAAGTTTGTAAGTAGAGCAAGACATCTTCTTGATGATGGGAAAGGGACCTAGCCAGCGGTGATCCAGTTTTGGGCTGGGTCTCATGGTTGATATGTTCCGACTGTTAATCCACACAAAGTCTCCTACGTTCCAGTTGGGTGTTGGCCTAACTCCTTTGTTGAATTGAATCTTCATCTCTTCTTGTGCTGCTTCTAGGCTCTGTCTTAATTCGTCTTGAACTTGGTGTATTTTCTTCATTCTTTCTTCTACCACTGGTATGCACTGTTTCCTCAATGGGACTCCGCTGAAGTTTGCGTTGTATCCAAAATTTGCTTTGAAGGGGGATACTCCTGTGGATACGTTGTCTTTGTTGTTATAAGAGAATTCGGCCAATGGAATTAGTGATTCCCAGTTGTCCTGTCTGTAAGAAACAAAGTGGTGTAAGTATAGTTCGATAGCTTTGTTTGCTATCTCTGATTGCCCGTCGGTGCAAGGGTGAAACACCGTTGAAGACTTAATACTGATACCCAACCGCCTGGACAGGTCTCGTGTGACTTGAGATATGAATATGCCTCCTCTGTCTGATACAACCATTTTGGGTGTTCCGTGCGGTCTCCAGATTTCTTTGATCATGATATCCGCTAATTGATCTGACGACATGCTTTTGTTACAGGGAATAAAATGAGCCATCTTCGTAAGGCAATCAACTACAGTCAGTATGCTGTCTTTTCCATTAGATGTAGGGAGTTTAGTAATTAGATCATAGCTGATATCTGTCCACAGGCCCGCCGGTATGGGTAATGGCTCCAAAGATCCATAGGGCTTCTGTGTCGTGCTCTTGACTTGGAGACAAGAATTGCATGAATCCATGTAGCGGTTCACAAATGATTTAATCGAGGGCCACGTGAAGCATCTCCTGATAAGTCCTAGTGTCTTGGATCGGCCTGGGTGTCCTGCTAGGATGCTGTCGTGACGACTCTTCAAGATTTTGAGCTTGATTGCATCATCATCTGGTACTTCAATGCGGTTTTGGTGGTAAAGTATCCCGTCCCGGACCTGATAGTTTTCCGTTGCTTTCTTGATCTTAGAAGAGATGGGATCAGTTACTGCGTTCATCAGCTCCACTAAACGAGGACAATGTTTTGTACATTCTCTGATCTCTGATATAATTTCAATGTCGGATTCGAATCCTTGAACTGCTCCGGCTTCTGAGTTTGCTTCTTCGTCCTCTTGCATGCCTAAGATGTCAATCTCAAACCATCTTTCTGGGTCTTCTAAATTGATTGTTTTGTCCTCAAAGATCAGTTCTATGCTGTCCACATCAAGGAAAGTGTAGTGAGTGATGCTTTCAATCCTAATGAGTTGGCCAAAAGTCAATCTGTCAGCTTTGTCCGGTGCTAAGTCTGGTCTCCGTGATAGAGCATCAGGTTTGGTTCCTTGTCTACCTGGTCTGAATTTGATGGTGAAATCAAAACATCCTAAGGTTTCCGCCCATCGTGCCTGTCGTCTGGTGAGTTGTTTAGTTGTCATGAAGGATTCCAGGTTTTGGTGGTTGGTGTATACAATGACTTCTAGACGGTTGAGATTTCCCTCCAGGTAGTGTCTCCATTCTTTAAAAGAGGCAATGATGGCTAATAGTTCCTTGTCGAAGATTTCATAATTCCGTTCTGCTTGTGCTAATGAAAGGGATAAGTAGGCAAATGGATGTATCTCTCCGTCGTTGTCGCATCGTTGAGACAGTACTGCACCTAGCGCAAAGTCTGAGCAATCACATTCTAGGATGAAAGATTTGTAGGGGTTGGCAATTTTTAACACAGGGGCTGATGTGAATGATGTTTTGAGGCTTTCAAATGCTTTGTTACATTGTTCGTCCCAATCGAATTTTGAATTCATTTTTGTGAGGTTGTGCAATGGTCTGGTGGTCTTCGAGAATTGATCAATGAACCGTCTGTAGAAGTTAGCAAATCCAATGAAACGTTGGAGTTCAGATACATTCTTCGGAATTGGCCATTCGGATACTGCTTTGACTTTGGTAGGGTTCATCTTGATCTTATTGTGAGATATCAATAAACCTAAATATTCGACTTCAGATCTTGAGAATTTGCACTTCTTGGGTTTCAGCCACAGTTGGTGTTTGCCTAGGATCTCTAAGATGCTGTCTACTGCCAGTTTGTGGTTTTCTCCTTTCTTAGTGTGAATCATTATGTCATCAAGAAAAGCTGCCGTATCCTTTCCAATGCGTCCTAAGAGTATATCTTGGATGAAAAATTGGAAGTAGCCTGGTGCTCCGGTTGGGCCAAATGGCATAGTAAGAGGTGTGAATTGGCCTTGGTGGCATACAAATGCTAGGATGTCTTCATACCCTTCAGCGACTCTAAGGTTACCGTATGCATTGCGTAGGTCAAGTTTGGTGAATCTGTCTGAATTCAATAAACTATCAACTAAATCCATGGTCAGTGGTAGCGGATACTTATTCTTGATTGTTAATGCATTAAGTTTACGGTAATCAAAGCAAGGTCGTAGGTTTCCGTCTTTCTTTCCGGTGAATAATACGGGTGCCGCCCACGGAGAAGTGGTTCGCCGGATAGTTCCAGTCTCTAGGCCTTTGGTTATCATCTCTTCTAATGCTGCGTTCTCTGCTGGGGATAGAGGGATAACACGGCTGGCTTGGGGTTGGGCACCTGGTAATAAGTCAACCTTAAAATTGTACCGTCTACGAGGAGGCAGTGTCTGTGATTTAGATTTGACAAATAAGTGAAGGTGTCAATGGTACTGGGATGGGACTAATTGTTCAGCTGTCTTGATGGGCTCGTTCTTCTTTAGGTCAGCGGCGAGTTTGGCTGAGGTGGACCAGGAGGTGTTTGCGGCATTGGTTTCTATGACATATTCCAAGGGAGAACTAGGCTGGCCATCTGATTCATGTAAGGGATTCAAATTAGCCAAGATAATCGCTATTTTGACAAGCAGAGGGGTTTGGTGCTATCATAAACAGCCAACCACTATGCTATATATTTGCAGGTGCTATGACATCTCATAGCAGTGCGTCATTTTCAGGCGCTCCGCTATGCTACGGGAAAATCTCACTAAACTTGGTGA